TACACTTACTTGCCTCTTATTTCATAGAATAAATAAGCATTATCTATACCATTACAGTTGAAAACCTTGTGCCTTTTTAAAAGTTAACATAATGAAAAATAGGGAATAATATTTTGATATATTTCAAAAAGTGTTTATATACACAAAGACATAAACAAAAATCTAAATTTCCAAATTTCTATAACTGGCAAAGTAGATAACTTTTAATCAGTTTGAAACCAATTCATACAAATAATTCACATTCTTGAGAAAACAACTCCTGTTGGTACACCGCAGGAAATGGCTTGAATAAGTAAGTACACTAGATTGCAGTGGCCTCGGTAATCATTGTCCAAATTTATTCTGAACTGGCAGACCAGGCTTTGTGGTGAGTGGAATATCTGTTTGTGCCCATCAGCGGCTGATTGAAACTTGAACTATCTAGACAAACAATTATGCAGGAAAGCTCTTCCCATCAATTATCCAGAGTAGGGGAGGTTTAGGATGAGTAGAGGGCTCTACAGACTTAGGTCTTCGCTCTCCCTATCTTTGCATTTCCTTCTCCCTCTCTAAGACAGCACAGATCAAGTCTTGCAAAGATTTTCATCTGCTGCTTTATTTGAAGCAGTGTTTGGTTTTGGGGGTAGTTTAACAGAGGGGCAACACTGTTTTACTTGACCTAGCTTTTTGACAAATTGTTTGATGAGCCCCTCACACAGTGGTGTACATCCATCAAAAGTGGGATGGTCGATTGTCGCAAATCATCCTCTGCTTCTGACTTTAAGTAGATGAACACCTGGCAACTCCAACTGAGCAAAGAGACAGAGCGCTGCATCTTCAAAATGTAAAAAAAAAAACTCATGTTGAGCTCTCTCTTCACTAGTCTCACGAGACACAGTAGGAAACTGGAAATTATATGTACCCCCTCCTATTTTACAGATGGTAATATAAATCTTTTAAATCTTGACAGCTTTTGATGCAAATGCCAACTGTCATGAAGTCTCAATAGGATTCTAAAGGACTTAGTCTCAGACACTCTCTACCATCTTCAATCTTACAAAAATGGCCCACTCGCATAACATGGTAGCACAGCTCACGTAATGCACCTTGCACCTTGGCTGTGTACTTGATGGTTAAAATTCCCTGAAATGTGCACCTGCTGTGTGGCTAATGTGGCATTAAACAATTTCCGAATGTGAACTGCTTTAAGGGAACTCATTCACATGCCTTTACAGAAGTGTATGTGTATGCTCCGTAATGAACTCCAGTACATTGCATTTACCTCGGCGTAAAAATTGCTTCAGGGCTTACAATGTAGTGATCTCACCTTACCTTCACATAGAACGTATATTTCACAGTATGTTTACATTTGAAATTAGCTACTGAATTATTTTCCCCTATGAAAAGGCAACAACTGAAAGGCAAACTGTTTCTTTTAGCCTGGAGGTACATGTAGTTTAACTCTCAGTAAAAATGTAAGGAATTGATTAATGCTATTAAAAAAAGTGTACACTATATTGATGACTGGCTAGTTTATTTCAAATTCGTGACTTTTCTTTAGTGATTATAATTAGGGTGATGAGACACTTTCTTAAGGGGGTTTATAATAAGTTTCCACAAGTCAAATCCAGTTACACAGGAAGGATGTTGGCCAATTCTTGTTCCCCTTTTAGGTAAGTCCTTCTTCACGAACCTTGTCTGGGTATTTGATCTCAGCCCATAACATTCCCATAGCGCTTTCCATTGATTCATGTGCATGCATTTTAGATTCTTGTGCGGGAAAGCTTTTAAAGGAAGAGCATCTTCCTGCACATGGCCTATTACAATATGTATGGCCATGCCAACCGAGGGAAACTCGCTTCAGTTAACTAGAACACTGGCCTAGTTTGATTAACTTCTGCAATACAATAAGGAGAGAGAGAGGGTAGTAGAATTACAGGTCCATGTACTACTAAATTTGAGGAGTAAAGCATAAGACATCAAGAGAAGGAGAGAGGGAAAGAGGGAACGTGAAATGGAGATCTACTGTTGAGTAGTGCAATAACATTGTAATAACACTGAGACAATGGATAATTGGATTTGGAGAACTCAACTTCAAAGAATATTCCGAAAAATTAAATTGGGACTTTTTTTCACAATTAAATTGCTTCTTGAAACCCAAATTGAGTCTTATGACTTAATTTGCTTATGAAAATATGCAAAATATCTTCTACTCCTGAACAGATAAATGTTGTGTATTGTCTTGGCTTTCCTAGTATATCTTTGTAAAGTAGAAATGGTGCTTGTTTATTAGGTTATGCTTTATTTTGATATTATTATCCCATTTCTAAACTTACCTAGCAAACTGTACTGTAGAAAGAGGCAAGGTAAAACACCCGACACAATGGCCGGTTCAATATTTCCTCTTTAAAGCTACCACTATCCTTTAAACAATTCATGTATTCACATTTTATCCAGAATGAGTTATCTGAAATGCCTACTTTCACTACAAGAAATTTATCTCTGTAGGATATTAGTACAGACATCTAGGTGATTTATGGGCAAATCTCTATCAATGGAGAAGATAGAAGTACATTTAGAAAGAGGAGAAATGGAGGTTGGGGAGGAGGAAAGACAGTATAAAGGAAGATGAAGGGAAAGGAGAGAGAAGGGATGAAAACAAATACAGAAAGATATCAGAGAGAAAAAAGAGGGAGAGTAGAAAGACAGAGTAATGAGAAAGGGTGAAGGTAGACGAATACAGGACAGGGAAATCAAGTAAAATAGGAAGAGCGAAGCATCAACAGAGAAAAGAAGAGTGAAAGAAAGGATGAGACACTAAAACAGTGCTAACAAAGATGATACATGCGTTGCAATGTGCCAGATATATCACTGATTAAAGCATTGATGTATATTTTGCACATATTTTGTGCTTCATAATATGTATGTTAATATAACCATGAAGAGTGCAGCCAGTAACAAACCAGCGACTAAGTATTCTCAACAGGAGAAAAGCTTCACATCAATCTTCCCTCAAAATGAGCAGAACACTCTAAAGAACAGTCCAACAGCTAGCGCCTCAGCAGTATAAGCAAGGTTTAAATTGCATCAAGGCGTAAAAGCATTTGGGTACTAAATGCCTAAGTGGTCCCTGGCAATTAAAGTGTATGAGAAGCTTTGTGCCTAGGAATTGGGGATGATTCAATCCACACTTTAAAGGTGGCACCAACCTTGCATGCAGACTCTTATGCCACTCTGATATAAGAACAGAACATTTTCAAGGATTCTGACTATTTCTTTCAGAAGATTTTTTTGTTGAAAAGTATTTTCAATAGGATTGGTTTCATGCACTCAGATCTTTGGTTACAAATTGGGAATGCATTGGTGAATTTATAAATGTTTAAGAATGTAAATTTGAATGGCTGACAGGAAATAATAATGATGAATTCCTTATTACAATGCAACATTAATGGTATGTTTTTTTTAGCCATATACAATAAAATGCTTACAGGAATATCAAAGATTTGACACATTTTAGGATAGGCCAAAATTATATTGTTTCATTCAGTTTTCTTAGGGCGAAAACAAAATATTCATGGTGGCAGTTAAAATATCAAAATATCATTTTGAGATGTTTTTGTTACTCCGTCTCCATGCGCTAGATAAATAGTGAACATTCTCGATATTGTATAAAAAGTTGAACATTGGTCATATAGCACACAAGGTCTGTCCGTGTGTGCAAGGAATAAATCTCACACCAAATTCATCAGAAAAGCACTAAATCCCCACAGACTGGAATGCAATCACCATTATTATGACACATCATTTGAAGGGGAAGGGAGATATTGTTCTAGCCTCAGGAGCTATGGGTCTCTTGAGCAGAAAGCTCACATGTATAACAACCTTGCACCTGAGTTACCATTCAAAATTTGTTTCTACTGGCACACAATATCATAAATTGTTGTACATGTATCTGCTTGAAATACAGATTTGTTAATGAATAATTTTCTTTCTCTAAGCTTTGGCTTTGAACCCCCAAAGAACACATCAATGTGCCCTGTTTGATAAATGAAGTTTGTCACATATGTTGTCTGAATGCTTAACAATGCAATCTGAGTTTAAACAAATAATACTTTTAGTCTTTTTTTTTTTTTACTGCTTTAAGAATTTCAGACTTTCTAACTTTCAGCTTGATATATCAAACTCCAAAACCATTAGAACTATAAATTTAAATCTTGAAGAGAAAATATTCAATGAATAAACACAATAAATGTAGAAAAACTAATAATTAGCAATTATGCAGCTTCAGAAGATTTTAGAACATCTTGTAGCCGACACTCAAATGGCACTGTGGGATGTATTCTCTCAAAAGAATATTCTTACATGAGTGTGCTACAGTGCACACATTGCATGTTTTCACAAAGTCTGTATGAAAAAATACAAACAATAATATAACAGATCTTTTCTTTGAAAACAAGGGAAGACAAAGATTCATGCCAGAACTACAAATGAAAACATGTGATTGATATATGTATTTACAAGGAAAGCCTAGAGATATTTCATTGATTGCAAACAGGTTCAATTATTCACCTTGACTTGAACTACTTCACTTCTTACAGCGATCTATTTCCAGGAATACCAGAGCGCCTTATTGCATTCTAGGTTACCAGATAAAATCATGTATTGATTTTTAGTTTTCTCTTTTGTTACTCCACTAAAAGCAAATTTCCAATTACTTGTTAGATGCTCAGTGACTCACACAATAAAACCACACAAGAAAGTCTCTCAAGCCTTAAATGCTAGCGTAGAGCTTTTCTGCACGCAGGCATGTTAAGCTACTCGTGGCCATATCAACTTGCATCACTTTCAGACGTTTTCACCCTGAATCGCCCTCTTCTCACTTAGCCAGGGTTTTCAAAAATTGGACATTTCCGTTGTGAAATTAGATTTGCTGTTCATGTGTTTTTACCCTTGAAACATGGTTTTAACTTTTTGACCATGGATTTTGGTAAAAACCCTTCCTGTCTCATCCCACTTCTCACCTGATTCCTCTTGTACTCGTTGACGGACATCTCGAAAAGCTGAGCATTCATTATCCCGATGCCGCAAAAGGTCAAGTAGTTTTTGAACACCTGCACAGTAGGTAAAACAGGAAATAAATTGAAAGGAGATATCAGAGCATTACAACCACTTTTGACAGCTCAAAATCAATAAAGGGTTGATTATTTTCTCTTTCAAATCAATTCTATTGTTTGTGTTTTTATAAAGAATTAAATGAATAATGAACTTTCAGAATTCTGGAATTGGGAAATTGAATAACAATAAATACATATATTTTGTTGTATGGTGAAAAGTACAATTTTCTACTTTCTGCATCTAAAAGAATATATCAAATTAATTTTCATTATTGAACAGAAATGTCTTATGCACCAATAATTGGTTATGTGCATCATAAACAAGTTATTCATTTGTTAGTAACGAGCATAAATGGAAAGATGCCCATATAAAGTATGTGAGTTTCATGCATCATGATAAATTCAATGCATATAACAATCAATTTTGATAGAACAAATCAATAATCAAACCAATAGTGATAAAATAAATAATTTATAACATAATGCAATTAAATGAAATAACTGTATATAGAAGAATAAATAAATGTATAACTGGCAGAATATGATGCAAGTCACACGTAAAATGTAACAAGAGGTCCAAGGAGCTTATATGCTCACATGAGCCAATGAAATTAGGGCCTCACAATAAGGGACATAGCTCCAATCCCCTTTGCATCAGGAACATAGAATTTATTGAACAGTAGGGCAATTTAGGGGTGCTGCTCCCAAGTCCCTGCAGGTGCAGGTATCCTATTCAAACAAGTTTAGGTCTACTTTACATAAAAATTATTCCTACAATGTTTAGCCAGAATCCATACCAACATTTTGGTATGAAATCATATCTACACTTCATGATATAAAATGAATATATATCAGAATATAAAATAACAAAATTAAGGTAACCATGCATTTTGAAGAGATATCCTTGATTCAAATGGAACAGTTTTCAAAACCATTTATTTGACAGTTTTCAAGATTGGTGCATATGCGCATTTTAAGTTTGCCATACTCGCATTGCTGTTTCGATGGTGCATATTGAAGGCTGCCCCCATGCCCTCTTGGCCGGGGGCCATATACCCCCATTTGAGGTATTATTATCAAAATTTGATCTCCCTTCCCTGAAGGTAATTCCTACAAAGCTTGGTTAGATAGAATCCAGCAATGGGTTGGGAGAAGAAGTCAAAAAGGGGTAAAAAGTTTACTCAGGTGAGCTAATAATGAGCAAGCCCCCATCCTATAATTAAACTGCATAAGAAGCTTATGCAGCCATCTAACAAGAACAAGTTGCACAAACCATTGCAGGGCAAATTCATTTCAACTACTATCCAATAACCTTGTGACCTTTCCCAAGATGTCCTCCCATTGTTGTATAGGTTTATCTCGACATCAATTGGCCGTGACAATAAACATGCAAGCATCCTGCCCTAGAACAGTGCTTCACTCTTCCTCTAAGTGTTTTTCTGGAAAGCGAAATCTTGGGGTCTACCTTAGCTACTCAACAGTGTTTGCATAGAGCTCATCCCTCAGTGTGATTAACTTGCTAAGACGTAGAGAAATGTTTTATAATGGCTATACATGGACATCACATTCTATCGTTACTTCATGGGTATCAAAGGGAAACCTGACTTTTCCTATGAAATAGTAAAAAGATAAAAATGTCCTGATAACTTTGTATTATTCATGTGAAAGAGCAATCCTCTTCAATATGATAACAATTATGTTACAATATTGTTACACAGTAGCAGTCTGAATATTTCAAAATGTGTATTGATGTCAAAAGTAGTTTGCATGCACCGAGAAGTAATGTACATGTACATGTACATAGAAAAGCCACAGCAACTTGCTCGAGACTCCCAGACCAATTCCACTCAATAAGAGAAGAACATGTAGTTGGGTGTGTTGTCAGGCACTGACACTGAGCATCTCCCCATGTTCATTTATGTAACATTAGTTAATGAAATAGGACACAGGGATTAAAAGACAGATATTTAATGAAAGCAGAGAGAGGTTCATTAAACTGTCATTTAAAGATCCATATTTTGATAAACAAATCATACCCATGTGAGCAAATCAATTTTTACAACCCAAGACAATCCTTGCAAGTTTAATGATCACAAATGTGGTATTATGAATGAAAAAATCTTTTAAATAATGTTTGATAACAAATCTATTTTTTAAAGTTGATAAGATATTGCTGATATTGCACACCTGATAGTAAAATAAATTACATTTAAAAAGTGAAAATAAAATCTGAGAATATTGACTGATAACTTTAAAGTACTGATATATTCACAATGGCTATATGAACATATATTGATACAAAAAATATATATTGCACAAAAGAAAGTAGGATAGTTCAAATTTGCATGCTGAGAGCTAGAAGGGCATTAAATTACAAGGCATTATTAACTAAAGCAATAGCACTTACCTAGAATCAATGCCCTCTCAGCTCTCAGCAGAAATTATAGATGAGGCAAAGATAATTGGATATTCTTCATATACTAAAAGATGTCTTTAATATGAAAAATAAATGAGGCAAAACTATTTCCAATGCTATCCTTCACAAAGATGCCACATAGAAAAGATAAATGATGAATTTTAGGCCATCCTTCAAATGAATGTCTGAAGTGAATTATTAGACCACGAAGCAACACCGGTGTAATGATTGAGTGCCATAAGATTATAAATAATTAATGATAATCACATTTGTGATTTATACAGCACATACAGCTGATATTTAAACATGCTTTATATTGAGGGGTAAATTATCAAAGACAATTTTTGGATTATTAAGATTGAATTTATACCTGAAATGGCAAATATCAATAGAAAAAATCACACAACTGTAGCATATTCAAAGCTGGACTATATGATCATAGACTCTACAATGATTTGGAAGGAGGAAAGCAAAATACAGAATCAGGGGATAATCATATCAAATTGCTTTTAAGGTTAAGCTATCTGAAAAAGTTATCACTTCATTATTAAAGTATCTTAGGACAAGTGTGAGGGGATAAACAAGGAACATGTCTTCTGCTGCATACAGGTTACCACAAAATAATCTTAGTAGAACAGATAACTTCGAATGAATTCAATAGTGATGTGAAACATAGTGCATGTACATGTACCAGTTCCAAGCCTACATTCCTATCTTTCTGACCATGCTTCCTTTATTACCTACCCATTTTCTCCCTCCCTATCCTTCTCCTTAATCTTTCCCCACTATCACTCCTCTCCCCTACATATCTCTCTTGCCCATCTCTATATCTCTGTAACTAACTCTCTTTCCTAATAATCTCTCTCCCTCTGTCTGCATGGGAGCACTGTTCATCAGCTGCCGAGTGCTGGGAGGTTTGGAAGGCATAAGCATTCAACACAGAACTCAAGACCTTGTGGTTATTACCTTACAATATGGACTGCTGAGAGCAACAAGGGCTCATGTACTTAAACATGGAGTTAAAGGTAAAGACCAGTATTGGAAACGCCCCAATTTCAAAAAATGAGATGGAGCTCTCATTACCAATCATGTGAAAGAATATGTTTTGACTAATACATGATACAAAATTTGCCGGGAAACCGCCTACTAATTCATATATTTGGTAAATTTGTTTCTCTCATGGTCTGTGAGAGATATAGGGTAGTCCCATATACATCTTTCTGTGTATAGTGCTTGTAACTTTACGAAGAATGGGCCAAATTTCTTATCATTTTGATGATTCCAGAACCTTGCAGATGCTAGATGCTAGATGATCAACCTTTTCTGATCGATTCCACAACGTTTCTTTCACAATGCAATCGCATGACCATAACTGGTCTTTACCTTTAAACGTCCTTCTGGATCTATTTGGACAAATTATACTCCCGTCTACAAAGGCCAGGTAAAAGAGAGTGGTGGACATGGACAAAAGAAGTGACATTAGTAAATTCATGTTAGATAACAAAGTCAATTACATTAATGCATCATGTATTCAATGCAGAGATTATACTAATTAACAAAATAAATTATAATAAGGCTTACAATCATGAAAAAAACACATGAAAGGCCTATGCAAAAATATTCAATGTTGGATGAAGAAAACGTGGAGATGTAATCATTTAAAGTGTAATAGAAAACAATTTAGAGAAAAATGTACCCTTCAAGATAAATGTAGGACACATGAAATCCTATAATAACAAGCTATACAATACAATAAAGATACCAGTAATAACTAAAATGAGGTATTTTAATGGGTACAAACAACATCACTTAAATCATTAGCAAGTAATTTTGTCATTCTGTAAAGTGTCATTCTAGTGAGTAAATTTCTGTCAAAAGCTTTCAGTCCTGAGACTATTAACATAAAAACAATTTTCATCTCCTTTGAGACTATTCCATGACACTAATTTATTAATTGGAAAAAAGTATGGTACATGTAGGATAGACATGAATTCAGCTTATTTCTTCTATCAAAAGGTGTCCCACTGACTTTTCTCCCATTATAACCCCTCCAGTCTTACTGGTTGCAAGAGTCAATACTGGGGACTATTTGCTAATATTTGCAAGGCTTTCAAACACATTTGTCCAGCCTGTGTGTCCAATGTTAGGCCTTGTTTCCCGGCCAGTATATTTACGAAGCATGTCCACATGCATGCTGCCAATGCGAATGCCAAGGAGAGACAAGAGAAGAGGGGTGGGCTGTTAGAGACAGACAGAGGCTTGCTAGCCCAAGGCATGCAATTAAACCTCTCACGGAATATCCATCAAGGATCAGAGATCTCAATCAGAACCTGGACACAGGAGAAAGCTTCAGCCGGAACATGACAGACTACATTACCATCTACTGTAGATCCAACCACTAAACATCAAAGCGGATTCAAGTTCAAACGAGTCTTCTTACATGAAAACATTCCCATAAAACACAGTTCTTTGATAATCCTCACTGTTCTTGACAAATTGAAGATGAGCTCTGCAATAGCTTAGGGAGATTTATCATACAGGCAGTAAGGCTATTAAATCTATATCACCACTGCTGGTGATCTT